AAACCTGAGAACTATGACAGACAAATATATCTTCAGATTATCTCGGAAAAGATAATTGCACAAAACACAGTGGATCTTCAGCAAAAGCCAATTAACTTAAGCTGCTGCTATATGCCATACTTCTTGCTTCATTCTGGAAGTTATAGGCATACATTTGATGATATTTAAATTCCAAATTGATTGACAGAGTAGCAACATACCAGTTTCTTGTTTCAAATATTTAAAAGTGTATTTATTTCAAGATAATTCTTAACTAGAAATGTCTAAACAAATTATGGTTATAAACTAGTGGATAAAAACAAGTATACTTACCCTCTTTTTCCCAAACAAAACATAATTTAGTCATGATTAGGATAATTTATGAAATCCCTCTGAGGCTTCATGCAAGCACAACCAAGATCAAGAAATTTTCTGCCTGAGAAATCTGGAGAGCTGCAAACATGATTCCTTATTCTAAAGCCTATACTGTCTTTAGAAAGGGGGATGATTGCTGGGTGCCCTGTGCTGGTGGCTCACGCCTGTAATCCTAGCTACTCAGGAGGCTGAGATCTGAGGATCACGGTTCAAAGCCAGCCTAGGAAGGAAAAGTCCGTAAAACTCTTATCTCCAATAAACAAGTCAGAAAACTAGAAGTGGCGCTGTAGCTCAAGAGGTAGAGCACTTGCCTTGAGGTGAAGAGCTGAGGGATAGTACCCAGGTCTAGAATTCAGGTACCATGACTGACCAACACACACACACACACACACACACACACACACACACACACACACACAAGAAAACAACTAGATAAATATCCTATTTAAAAAACACAGAAATTCAATTATATTTAAACAACATCTCCTTCAGTAGGATTTGTTTAAGGAATTAAATAGTGAATTTAAAATATTCCCTATGTTATCTGTTCCTCAAACTGCCCCTCATTATAATTAACACAGATCCTCTTTCACTATATCAGAATCACCTGAAAAAAAATCATTCAACACATATTTGCATTTAAAAAAATTTTTGGCGATACTTCAGATTGAACTCAGGGCCTCATGATTAGCAGTTTGCTACTACAGAAGCTATATCCTGGTGTTTATTCAAACATATTGGAGTGACTTGAGACATCAGGCCATGCCAAGGACCGGTGGTTAATATGAGATCCCCAATGTGCTCACTAGCTGATAAAGTCATTTCACACTATATACTTCTATTATAAACATATTGTAAGGTTAAAATAAACATAGATTTTTTTTCAATTTGGAGTAATAAACTTTAATAATGCATCTCATGTATGTTATTTCTTTATTTCTTTTGGTTGTAGAGCTTGACCTCAGGGCCTGAATGACTCTCCCTCACCCTCTTTGTGCTCAAGGCTAGTGCTCTACCACTTGAACCACAGTGTCAATTCTGGCGTTTGAGTGGTTAGTTGAGATAAGAGTCTCAAAGTGACTTTTCTGGCTAGGATTGGCTTCAATTCCTGATCCTCACATCTCAGCCTCCTGAATAGTGAGGATTTCAGGTGTGAGCCACCGGCATCTGGCTACATGTTATTTAAAACAAATACAAAAATGAATGAACATTGAATAAAATAAAATATTTCTGGGTTGTTATCAGTAAGGTTAAGGAAACTCCCAGAATAACACTTCAAGAAATTAATTGGCTTCTAATTCACAGAATCAGACACTATGTTTTACTGCTCACATTTTTTTTCAAAATTACTCTGTGTGGGTAATATAAAACATATTAGTGGTAATAAAATTTTATTGAACATTTTGTGGGTAATATATAACATAGTAGTGATAATAAACTTTTATTGAACATTTTTTTATTCATCATACTTGACCATCAGCATTATACAATACAGTCCGGATGGATACATAGTTGGGGAAGATATAATGTGGCATACACAGGTAACAAAACATCCCCTATGTAAGCCATATACTTTTCCATTACTCTCCAGGTCTGTCTAGCTCACCTTAATGTATGGTATCAATACTTATTTCAGCCTCTGGATTCAGTTAATTGTTAATTACAATACCTGAGCTATAAAAATAAAAGATTTCATTATAGCAAAGTTCACAAATTGTTTTCTCATTCAGTCCGGCTATTCGCATTTGTCCACCTAAAACAGTAAATAAGTCCTCCAAATATATTTTATGAAAGAATTGTGACTGACATGGCATTGTGAGACTAAAAATAAAAGAAGAGTTAGCCATCTACTAGTTTTCAGTACGAAGGTAGTTGAGAGGATGAAGAAAGTTATTCATCCATACTATGGACTGAAATCATTCATTTTGTTCTGAGCATGTAGGTACTAGGGAAATTACAGTCAGAATTCGTTAAGCCATATACATTTTAGATAGGAATTTGTATAGTTAATGAATTTGGAAGGAAATACATTTCCAAATTTCTATAGGAGTGAATAGTTGACATATGATGAGCATTATGAAATTCAATTAGCACTAAAAAAAACTAGAGAAAAAGAAAATGTCTCTTAGTTCTATTAGTACTTACATTAAAAAAAAGTTGTATAATTGCAAAATGTTGGAGTTGCTACTCAATTGGAATCAGTTCTACTCAGCAACATGTTAACTAGTCTTTCATTGCTTATCATTAGAGTGATAAAATCACACCACCTATTGCCAGCATTTAAGTTTGTTTTTTTTTTTTATATCAAAAGGTAGCTAGGGCTTGAATATTAATTCCTCAAAAAGCTGATTGTTAAGGAAATAGTCTGTGTATTGAATGGCTAATGCCTATAATCTTAGCTACTCAGGAGACTAAGATCTGAGAATCATAGTTCCAAGCCTTCCTGAGCAGGTAAGTCCAGAAGACTCTTACCACCAAATCATCACACACACACACACAAAAAGCCAAAGTGGAGCTGTGACTCAAGTGGTAGAGAGCTAGCCATGAATAAAACAACTTAGGAACAGTGCTCAGACTCTAAAATAAAATAAAACAAAGAATCACAAATTATACTTGTCTTATAGACAAAAGTTATTACATATAAGAAACACACTTTAAAAACTCAGTTTCTGTTTGAAAGCAACTAAAGTGTCCAGAGACAAATGTATTCATTAGGAAGAATCATCTATTAGAATGGAAAAGAATACACTAGTTAATTACAAAAAAATCCCATTATAGTTTTAAAACATGGACACCCTTTGTTATAAGTTCCTTTTTTAGGGAAGACAGTGAACAAGTATGTGATAAATATTTCACAGTAAACACTGCACAATGCTATTAAGCTGCCTATGCTTAAAGGAGAAAATAAAATATGATGATTCAAAGACCACTTGATCATGCCAAGAATTAAGAAAAGCAAATTGTTTAAATTGTCATTTGCTAGAATAGGATGTCAGAGTACAGACAAAATAAACAAATGTAGTTACTCAAACACAATTAATATTAAATCAAATTCTCCTTTATCAAAAGTATCACACAAAGCAATTACAAATACCTCAGAACATGCTATGTTAAGTGATATGGTGAAAGATTTCCTGTAGGATCCAGAGAGACTCAGAGAAAAACTAACATCCAAAGCAAAGTGGGAAACTAAATTACTTGCTTCCCTTTGAAAGTCTGAATAGATGAGAAAGGGTACCTTCTTACAGTGGTAAAATTACAAGGCACAGGACTTGGGAGATGAGTAATAGTCTGTTTTGTAGAATTAAATGAATGTGGAATTAAATCAGCAGGAACTTTAGACCTGGATCATTTATTTCATCCTGGTTTATTTTATCTGGAAATTCTATGTATCCTCTATAAAACTACTTTACTTTCTTTCTTAGCCAGCCTATTACATGAAAAAAATGCTGACGCAGAACCATGAATTACTTTGCAAATAGAATTCCTACATAAATATAGCACTCTGTTCCTTTTATCTGCTCTTAATATTTTCCAACAATAAATCGTTACATATCCTGGAAAATGTCACTGGCTCAAAAGTATGTCAGTCTATCTCAGAAATTAACCTCAGCTTTGATAATATATTTCACTGAATATATTTTTAGTAACTCACTTTTGGGATATACTGGTCCAGATATTGTCTCATGAGATTCACACTATAAAACCAATGGTTATTTTTCTACTTCAGCCTGTGCAAAATATGTTTAAAAGCAGATGTGAATTCACTTGGTGCCAACAAAGTGAAGGTGATTTTTAACATTTCAGCTCTGTAAGCCTGATATTCTTTGATTTTTGTCAGATTATTATTGAATTGTCAATTCCTTCTGACCATAAGCTACTTTTGGACAATTTACAAATGCCACATTTTGATTAATGAGATTTTTATAGAATGTACCTTTAGAGATTAGCCATTGAAATTTTAAAAATACATTGTCTTTTAAAAAGTGTGAGTCTGGATTTATTGGTTCAGATACTTATTTTACTTTCATCAAATATGTTTTTAATATGTAAAGGGCCATTTAGCTTATTTTTATTTTATATTCTTACTTTGGTTGACATTCTAACTTCAAGTCAAATACTATGTGGGCATTTGGAACTTGATTCCTAACTTAGAATAATTCTAGTAAGTGTAAATAAAGGAAGTGTCTATAGAACTTCCTTAAAAAAATTAACTTTGCTGGATGCTGGTGGCTCACGCCTGCAATCCTAGCTACTCAGGAGGCTGAGATTTGAGGATCATGGTTCAATGCCAGCCTGGGCAGAAAAGTCTATGAGACTCTTATCTCCAATAAACCACTAGAAAACCCAAGTAGGGCTGTCGCTCAAGCGGTAGAGCGCTGGCCTAGAGCTGAAGAGCTGAGGGATAGTGCCTAAGCCCAGAGTTCAAGCAACCGAAAAATAAAAAAAAATTTAAAAAATCAACCTTGTCAGAAATCAGGCTATTTATTCAAATCATTGAAAAAATTGAATTGGCATTGTTTAGGCAAAATAATTATTAGTTCAAAATAATGAGAATACCAAATAATACTATGAGATGGGGATCTATTCTATTTATCTTCATACCAGCTTGGTATATGCCAAGATTGCAGCTTAGATTTAATATTAAATCATCCTCCAGCAAATTTCAATGACTAGGCCCTAGGAATGCTTAGGTATCCAAATGAACAAGAAATGTTATGTGGCATTTCAGTTCAAACCAGTAAGTTTATACTGAGTAATTTATGGATGTCAGTGAAATACTTAAGAGAACAGAAATTAATTTCAAACAGGTTATTGCTTCTGGGTCAAAATTGGTCTGGAATTTTTGGGAATTTTGTGGAATATAAAGTTATGAAAAAATTTACATGCTTAGAAACTTAGTATCTCCATCAAGCCTGTAGTCTAAAAAGTTATGAAGAGAGTAGCAAATGGATATTTTAGATACAGCTTCTTGGAATTTACAGTAATTTTTCTTCTCTAGCTGGAATTCCTTGAAAGTTGGTTAACTGTTTTTCTGGGACTTTTTTCATCTCACATTCAGAACAAGGAGGTACTTGCAATTTCTGTCAAACAACACAGAACAGAAAATTAGGAGAATGAAGACAAATATATTTTAAAGTAAAATTAAGAAATCCAAATAAAAAACTACGAAAAATCCTTACACTTCAATGAAGGCCTATTGACATCTACACAGATATAAATGTAACACAGTTTTTAATAAGTCTACTACATAGTCATATTTTGTCTAGAGATTGGTGTGATACAACACAGAAAATTTTGACTTGATCATTCAACACTGAATAATCTATTCCTAATTAACCTTAAAAGCGCTATGATGTCATATTTTTGGTCAGTTAGCAAACAATACATAGATAACTCAGAATTAAGCTCTTGAGTTGTGCTTGTTGTCTGTGTTGTGATGTCTATGTATTTTATTCTACCTCCTCCATTTCACCAATACGTCTTTAACCCCTATTGCATAAGAAAAATTATGCATGCTTTCTCTTCTCTTCAGTTCTGATTTCTTTTGTTTTGGTTGGAAGGGTAGAAGGAAAAGGAGAAACCCACATAATCAAACTACTAGATCTAGAGGAAGGGAGGTCAGCCATTCTAAGGCCAGGTGCTCTATAAAAGAACTGTCTTATTGCAGTCACTTCAAAATCCTGCTCTACCTAGAGCAAGGTGGAACTATATTAAATCTAATGGATCAAACAAAAGAGGATAGCAAATAAAATACCTGTAGGACAGACTCTGACTCTGTGATGGAGACTTTTGGTGGGCTCTCTTTGTGCTTCATTGAACAGGACTTGCCCTCCTAGAGAAGCAGACATTGAAAACAAGGCAAATGAGTTAAATTAGACAAGAAAGGAAATAGAAGCATCACTATGGATATTTCCCATGAAGTTGTTTTCACTACTTTCACGTACATTGAGAAGTAAAGTAGATACAAAACATTATGACTGAGCTAGTGATATGAGAACAAATTACCACCAGGTTTTTCATGGTCTGCCTGGAATCTCTGTTGTATATGTAGAATGAGCTACTATAAAGAAGAGATGGGAGAATGGTGGAAGGGATAACCTGGATAAAGATTCATTATAATCACAAACTGACATGTGGAGTTGAAACTCTTTCGTACTACTACTTAAGGATTATTCAAAAAAATGTTTTCAAAGGTACAAAATAAAAATTAAATTGACATAGTGTCTTATACATTTCATTCTTACATTGGGTCAACCTGCATCCCTATTTAAGCATTTTGTTTTTTCCTTTCCCGGTCCCAAGCTAGAGAAGTATATATACAAGATGCAGGGCAACAACATCAAATACAGTGAAAAAAGGGGTTATACCATGGGGGAGGAACATACAAAGAAACAAAAAAATCACATGGTGCATTATAAATACATTAGGAACAATAGCAAGCAAGAAAAAAAAAAACACTTGTATCCCTACCTTGGGCTTCATTTTGCTTAACATCATCTTATCGGGTCATATGTACATAGCTTTTGACCTTTTCTGCTTGTCCCAAACATATACCAGTTCTTGCAAATAAGGGAAACCATGAGACCTATGTCTCTTTGGGCCTGGCTTACTTCACTTAAGATAATTTTCTCCAAGTCTTTCCATTTCCTAACAAATGGGGCAATGTCATTTTTTCTGATGGAGGCATAGAATTCCATTGTGTATAATTTTCTTGATCTACTCATCTGGCATCTGGGTTGGTTCCATATCTTAGCTATGGTAAATAATTCTGCATAAGCATGTTGTGCTGGTAGCTTTAGTGTGTTCTTTTTTGTGATCATTTACAATTTAGGCAGGGAGGGGGGAGAGTGGGTGTAGTTGTGGAGGTGAGAGGGCAGGGAGGGTAGGGGAAAAACAGAGGAGGAGGCAACAATGCTCTATAGGAAATGTACTCATGACCTTGCTCATGTGATTGTAACCCCTCTGTACAGTATTTTTACAATAAAAAATACATTTTTTTAGAAAGCTCAGCGACAGCACCCAGGCCCTGAGTTCAAACTTCAGGACCATCAGAGAAAAAAATAAATTATAAAGTAAAATTTGAAAAAAAGGTAATTGATAACATTTACAGTATAAACAAAGCTCCATTCCTGTGGTAATAAAGCCAAAGATTAAAGAAATACTGAATCTGTGATCTATTTAGTCCCCAAATTTCAATAAGCCCATGATCTGTTGCCTTACATGAGCCTCCATTCTGCAAGCCAGGGAGCAATTTAAATAAATATGATCATAAATCTGTCTAGAAAAATGCCTTCCATATATTTTAAGTGGTCATAATTCTATAACCAAGATTCCATATTTGACTACCCAGGAAATCTCATTTGACTTATTAATTTTAGTAGTTATGAGGAAGATGAAGAGCAGGAAGTGAAAAAAGTATTCAATTTGACCTTTTATTTTAATCAAACTTAAGATACAGGATGCTTTTCCATCTTTCTTCTTACCTCTCCTTTTTCCTTCACTTCTGCTTTCTTTCTTTCCAATTATTTTAACCACACTTAAAAGTAAATTTGGCATATTTTAGGGGTTTAATCCATATGTGTGTGTGTGTGTGTGTGTGTGTGTGTGTGTGTGTGTGTGTGTGTGTGTGCGTGTGTGTCTGTGTGCGTGTTTTTTTTATTTGCAATACCCTGAAAATTACCAGGAAATATCAAGGCAACATTATTTTTTAAAATCTCCCTAGACTAAAAGACAGTTGAAACTTGGCTACTATTTCTAACAATTAGCTTTTAATATTCAAATATTTGGATGTCAATTTTCAGAGCTTATATCAAAAAAAACAAAAACAATTTTTCTTTTTTTAATTAGACTGACAATTACATATTTTTTTCTCTCATTGTTTATTTTATTTTATTTTTTGTGAACACACTGTACAGAGGGGTTACAATTACATGGGTAGGATAATGCGTACATTTCTTATCAAGCATTGCAGCCTCCTCCTTTGTTTACCCTTCACATCCCTTCCCAGCCTCCCCCCCACCCCCACCCCCACCCAATCCTCCCCGCCTCTCCCCTCCCCCCCACCAACGTTGTAAAGCTCGTTTTGGACATGACAACTTGTACTTCTCATTGTTGCAGCAGGTCCACCTGTATCCTTAAACGACTTGTTTTTCCCCATCTTCTCCACAAGTTATACTGACATCAAATATAGTGAAAGCAGGGGTTATACTGTGGGGGAGGGACATACAAAGCAACAAAGAGATAATCTTATAAATGCGTTAGAAACAAATGCATGAAAGAAAAAAACATTAAAATACATATCTAAGGGTTCATTTTCCTAACATCACATTTGAATATTTATCTTTCCAGTACAAGAAATATGTCAAAACAAAATCACATTTTACAAATATTTGATGCTACTAAAATGTGGAAAGCTGAATAAAAGTAAAAAAAAAAGTAAAAGTAAAACTAAAATATATCTTATAATTTGATCACTTCTGTGATATTTTAATGCATCAAGTAGAAAGTCTTGAGAGCTTTTACTTTTACAGATATTCAACAACTTCTATGCAAGACATGAAAAAATTTTTGTTTTAAACAATAACATCTTGTAGCTTAATTAACCATGTCGATATGCAGCACTTCAAAATTTTCAAGATTTTGAAGGTTATGTGATCTCAGCTTCCAAAAATTAAATTTGTCTGGCAGCAGTAACTGACAGCCTTTTCTATGGATAGGCTGGGATCCATTTTTCATTTATTATGATGGGCTGAGCTAGTCCCCTGTCTCTCAGCAAGCTTGGAGTTTATCCCTTTATTTCCCTCCTGGATTTTCAAATTAAACCTGCCCAGTTCTTTAACCTTAATTTAATCAGTATACAAATAACTGCAGAAATACCTTCCTAAGATAGATTTTATCATGTAAACTTGCTGCATAAAAAATGAGTTATGCCAAAACAAATAAGAAAAATATCTCTATTGTAAGTAGGTGACAACAAATTGCCTGTCATTTAAGTATTCACTTAGTCAAACAGGTTACAGAATCTGTCAAAGTATGACCATGTTTGCACTCTCAGCCTCATATTGAATATAGCAGATATAATATTTAATCACTCTTCTTCAAATTTGACAAGTTTTTAATTTTATCTCTGTTCAACTCAATGCCTCAAATGATCATCATTCTTACGTGTATTTTAAACTTCCACCCAGTTGATCTTCACCAATTTAGACTCTAAGTACCTGGTAATCATAAATCTTGTGTTGGATTGCTGTATGTATAACTTTTCTGTTTTTCAACTCTTATGTTGCCCTTTCTCATGGTTATTACCAAGCAACATCAGACTTAAATGTTCTGTCTTACAAAATATGCCTTTAGTCAATTATAAGTAATAGAAAGAACAGGGAGATATGTTCACTTTTTTTTTTTTTTTGGTCGGTCGTGGGGCTTGAACTCTGGGCTTGGACACCATCCCTGCTCTTCAGCTTAAGGCAAGCGCTCTACAGCTTGAGCCACAGAGCCACTTCTGGTTTTCTAGTGGTTTATTGGAGATAAGAGTCTCACGGACTTTCCCGCACAGCCTGGCTTTGAAATGATCCTCAGATCTCAGCCCCATGAGTAGCTAGGATTTCAGGCTTGAGTAACCAGCGTCTAGATTTATGTGTTCACTTTTGAAAGGAGAAACCTGATCCTCAAAGAAGGTACAATGCCATTTCTGTTAAACTTATTATGAATCAGGTTCTCTACTAGTCCTCCCTTTAGTAAATACTTTTATCGAAACTCTTGGAATTTTGATCATTAGTATAAAATTATGAGTTCTGGCAAATGTTAGTTGCCATGACTTTCTCTGATCGTGCCAGTCACAAAAGGTGAAAAGGAAAATATGACTGAGAAGAATGAAATCAGGGCTTGTTTGTTTCTTTTGTTTTATTTTTATTTTTCTAAACTGGTAAGATGTGTTCGCCTTGGTGAAGTATATCACAGGCTCACAAGATAAACGAAAGGGCATGGAGAAATCAGTCATTGTTCTCACCTACTGAGCCTCACAGATTTGCTTTTCATCAGAACTATTAAATACACCTGCAATCACAAAATTATTTGTCAGATTGGTATGCTATTGCTCATCCTTCTCAAATCCCACAGTATATAATTCTTGGCATTTCATTTCTTTTAGTATCCTTGGTACCACCTGAAATAGAATTACAAGTTTTTTCTTTTTTAGAAATTCAATTGGGTTTTATACAAGACAGTTTATGACTATACACAGTAAATGTGTGATTAAACCTGTGGGCTAAAATGTGTAGCCAGTGTTCTTATGACTGTGTGTTTATGTACATGTTTAGATATTATTTATTCAATTTTAGAAAAGTTTTATTTTCATATAACAGGATAAAAAATACAAAAGAAGAGAGAAACACTTCCCATGTCCCACACAGGTAACATGAGTTAGACTCTGTGTTTGTAATCTAAAATCTACTCTTTGCTCATTTTGAGTCCTTGGAGAATTACTCAGTGTTTTTCACTTTCAGTTTTCACATTGTTTTTAAATGAGGATTCATTTTATTCACAAATATTTATAAGGATCATATAAGAAAATCATTTAAAACACTGAGTTATTTAAAACACAACCAGTACTATCCACCCCATCCCACCTATATCAATATATCCTATATTACAGAAGCAAGGAGAATAATGAACATTAAGGTACATGATTCAGGAAATAGCCATTGTAAGCAATGTTAATAATATTTGTTTCTTCAACATATAATAAATATGTATTACAGCATAAATCTGTTTTTTGTATATGTTTTGAACAACCTATGCAGAATGACTATGTAATAATACTGATTCCAGCTG